TTATTATTATTATTATTATTATTATTATTATTATTATTATTATTATTATTATTATTCCTGGACAGGTTTTCTTGGCAAGAATTTGAAAAGTGGTTGGCTCTTGCTTCTTTCCCAGGGCTGAGAGAGAGGGCCTGGCCCAAGGTCACCCAGCCGGCTTCATGCTTAAGGGAGAACTAGAGATCACAGTCACCTGGTTTCTAACCATGTCAACAAACTGGCTCTCACTGTATTATTAACTGCCCTCCCCAGTAACTTCTAAAACTATCAAATGGTCCATTTTCTAAAGTAGGATTTCCAACCGTGGCAACTTTAAGATGCGTGGACTACAACTCCCAGAATTCCCCAGCCAGCACGCTACACCTCTTCAAATTGCCAAGGATGGAAAACTCTGTTCTAAAGAGACACGTTCGTGCTGCACTCTAACAGATGTTGGGCAGATGAGGTTCTGGGCTAAGCCAAGATGTGTATCTTTGGGCATTTGACGATTCCAGCCGCCATACCTTCAGACGTTCAATGGCTTCCTCTCCTCCGGGCGTGGACATGATCCGTTCTTGGATACTGGAGACGGCCGTTAAGCCCACCTGACTACTGAGAGAGCAGGAAGATGGAGATGCGGTGAGCGAGCCCATGGATGCTGTGGAAAAATGGCCAGGACGTTGATTCTCGGAGGCTAACAAGTATCTGTGCTTATTGTTCTGAAAATCTTTCAGATCTGAGAGAAAGAGAGAGAGAGAGAGAGAAAGAGACAGACAAGCAGAAGGGAGAGGCAAGGCAAAGGAAAAAGGAGCAGAAGAAAGGGAAAGAAGAGAGGGAGGAGATACCAGTATCAGAGGAAAGCACACAAAAAGCAAACAGACAAGAGATATAATAGATCTAGGATGGCAGTTTTGAAGTTTTGAAACACGGTCCCTTCAATCCACCTGGCTGCTAATTTGTCTGAGGCAAACAACCAGATCCCCACGTGAATAATTCAATTAGTTACTCTATTGCTTATGCCTATTTCACAGGAATCTTCTCAGGCAGGTGGTTTGCACCTGAGCAAGACTAGATAAAGTTCAATGGCATTCAAGGAGGGCTGGACCTTGCTTTTTGCCTATGCAATGATTCCAGGCTAGTTCCCTACTTGACTCTTTCCCCCTGGCTCAGCTAAGTCTCTTGACAAAATTCAAGGGAGCTCCTTCCCTGGAGTGAGCAGTTGGCTTCCTCCAGGGTTCAGTCTTATAGGTATCCTGCTATTTTATCTGGGTCTAGTTCAGATATAGAGTAAGAGCTTTGCTATCAACTGTTCCTTTCAAATGTTAATACCAAGGTTGGAATCAATTAGAGGCAGAGAGTCTGCTGGGCATAATTTAAAAAAAAATGGCAACCAGAATGCCTGATTCTTTACACGTGCAACACAATATAACAAGGGGTGGCTTTGACCACACCATTGCAAGCACCATCTTAATTTTTCCCCCTCCACATCTGGCAGATACCCTTCAGGAGGAAAATAAGAGGCTCCTGAAATGAATGATCAGATTAACTGCCACTCTCTTCGATAAGACGGGATAAGCCTTCAGCAGTGGCCATTATCTCCTTCCCATACGTGATGGTAGAGGGTGTTGAAAAACCCCATTATTAAAAGGAGGGGGGAAATGTAATTTTGGAATTAGCTGGCCCTAGAAAGAAATGGTCATTAAGTGCTAGGTCTGAATGACCTGGCATATCCTGGATGATGGCCAGAATAGGGGTAGGTACGTAATGATGATTCTGTTCTAACAAACGTATCAAAATTCTTCCAAACCATCCCAAACTCCATCCAGAAACTGCAGGGCTGAGGGTACCCAGCATATACATGTTCTGTTCTCAAGAGCCCAGTAGTTATGTTTCAAGTGGGTTTAAAAACTGCCATCTGCACATTCAGAAAAGGGAGCAGGGTTGAGGATAGAGCGCAATTCGAACACGCCGGGATGGCAAGCCAAGGGTCAGAGCCAAATCGCGGCACCCTGGAGAAACTCATGCGTCCCAGAGGAGAGAGCAAGGAAGGCTTACAGATGTCAAAGCAGCTACACAATTGTCAGAGAGCACCACACACGGCTAGCCCATGCATACATATCCCCCCTCACCAAAAAGCTGCGGCTGCACGTACTAAAATCAAAGAGTTAAAAAAGCTGTTAAGCTGAAAGCGGCATTAAAAAAAAAGGGAGGCCAGAAACACTGGAAGTTTAAAAAAAAAAAAACGATGCCAGAAAAGAGACTAGATCAATTACACTTCCAATTCTCTGCCTTCAAGGAGATTGCCAATAAAATCTCTTCTGCCTTTCTTGCTTTAAATAGCAGGGCAGGCTGAGGCCTTGAAAACAGCACTCAGCACTTTTGCAAACCCTGACTTCTTTTTTTTTTTTAAATCTCCACCGAGGAAAAGAAGAGAAGTCGGCAGGAAACTGCTCAGCCGCCTCTCTAGCCATCCATTAAATAAAGACTTTCTGAGTGAACTCTATGATTTGTTCAGCCTGCTCACCTCTCTCTATTAGCGAGATGGGTTTAGCTAAACTGAGCCCTGGATGGGGAAAATCTAATAAAAAAAGGCATTATCCAGTTGACAGCCGTCTTGATATCAACATTCAAATAAATAACAAAAATGCACTGTATTTTTCAGCTACTTCAGATGAGCCCTGGTGGTGCAGTGGTTAGAATGCCATGTTGCAGGCTGACTCTGCCCACTGCCAGGAGTTCGATCCTGACCGACTGGCTCAAGGTTAACTCAGCCTTCCATCCTTCCTCAGTCAGTAAAATGAGGACCCAGATTGTTGGGGGCAAGAGGCTGACTTTGTAAATCACTTAGAGAGGGCTGTAAAAGTACTGTGGAGTTGCGTATAAATGCTTTGGCTATTGCTATTTGCACCTACACATGGACACATTTTGTATATACATGAATGAGAAAGTTCTGCTAAACTGAATGAAACTGTACACTTTTGAAATTTCCCTTGCCTTTGAACTCCCAGCATTTGAAACAAATAGGAATATTTGATACACACACACACACACACACACACACACACACACACACACACACACAGACAGACAGAATGAATGCAGGTAAGTATCAATTACTCCACTCTGGGTATTATTATGTTTCCAAATATTGGTAGTTCGAGTGCAAGAGGAATTTATAATAGAGCTCCTTGATTTCACCTAGTTTCTCAGCAGATAATTCATGTTTTCTTTCAGAGAGGCCTGTCGGATGATTTCATACGCTCTTTAAAAAAAAAAATGCTCTCCTGGGATTTCCCCCTGTGAGAAATTGAAGTGTAAAGTTCAAATGCAGCCCACTCAACAGAAGCCAAAGATGGGGAAATGGGTTAATTCTGCAATACACACATTTGCATCCACTTCCCAAGAAATCGTCCAGTGGATCGACTGAAGAACGAGGTTAGGAGGGAAACACAAGAAGGATAAAAAAATACTCAGGGTTAACAGGAGACACGATGTGAGAAAAGGAAAAGCTTGATGGAAAAAGAAGGAAGTCAGATTCTCAAATTCAACAATTTCAGCTAATTTGTTACCGTAACAGGAGGAAAAAAAAATACTCTTATGATTTGGAATTGCTATTCGATTTGCGTTTAAGAAACGTTCTCTCCTTTTATCCACTGTTTTTTGAGTAAATGCTCTTATACTTATCCACTGTGTGTTTAAAAAGAATGGGAAAACATTTCTTGGCTGATAAAGAAGCACCCAGAATTCAAAAAAAAAAAAAAAAAGGGTTAAGCATTCGTCTCTTAATAATTCCCAGAGATTCACTGGGAGGGTGGGGGAACGACACTCACTGTTCCAGAAACTCAAAGCTTTGCCTTCACTCGTCAAAACTTTCTCACCATCTCGCTGCGACAAACAGCTGACCAGGGGCGTTTTCACTGTAATTCACCGACCAGCTGAGGTGACTCACTTCCCAGGAGGGAGAGGGTGTGGTGGGATAACCAATACGGGAGTATTGACCACAGGTGAGCCCAACATTTCTGCCGCTTAAATGAGACCCTTGTTAAATGAGTTTGGGCCCATCTTACGACCTGCCATGCCCCAGTTGCTAAGTGAATCGCGGCAGTGTGATTAAGTTGGTGACCTGGGTCGTTTCAGTGAATCTGGCTTCTCCATCGACTTCGCTTGTCGGAAGGGGATCGCACGCTCCCCCGGGACACTGAAAGTGTCGTAAACATGAGTTGGTTGCCAAATGGCCAAATGTGGATCACATGACCCTGGGGATGCCACAACAGTCATTAAGTGTGAAAAATCGGGAGTCGGGAGTCACTTTTGTAAGTCGAGGATTACTGTATTGACCTACAATTCCAGGGTGGCTAGAACTCTGAAAAAAACATCAAATCTACGGAAAATATTCCACATAATTTGGGCCAAAATGCAAGCAATTTCCAATCGGGGGGCGGTGGTGGTGGTGAAAGAGTTTATTTAACCAGCCCCTTTTCACGACACGGATGGGGTGAGTGGCGATGGGAGAGCCAAACCTATTATATCGTGAGGTTTATAAAATACTTTTAGAAGGCCCGAGAAGGACTTTTTAAAAAAACAGACAAACGTGGACAAAATGTCCCACAAATCCCAATCTTTTGCCCTTTTTTCGTTTTTGTGAGTTACAGATTGAAAATGTTTCATTTAAAGTTAACTGGCCTTCTAAGTTTAAGTTGTTTGGGGTGTGAGCAGGAGAGAGTTGCTCTGGAAGCAAACAGGCATTTAGGATGGTCAACAAAAGAGGTTAAGATGTAACCAGCGTATCATTTACAACATTTTTTAATGAAGTGTTTATCTATAGTCTCCCTCCCTCCACCCGCCCTCATATTGTTTAATTTTCAGTTGCATTAACTTTAAAGTTTAATAAAGACATGCTTTGATTTGAAAATGGATGCAAAACATCTTGTACTATATTAAGCTTTTAATAATGTACTAGAACATATTAGTCAAATGATGCTTTAAATTTGTTGGCAATCTTCCCATACTTTACTCATTGTGTTTGGCTCTCTCTTTTTTTTTTTCATCTAGCCTGCCCTTGTGTGGTCTTTTTCTTTTATTCTTTCAACAACAGCAATCATCATCATAATAGAAAGAGATAATGGAAAGCTGTAAATCCTGGCAGCTTACGTTCTGCTAGAATAAATCCCAGTTTGGCAAATGGAACTGCCCTGATCTAGTTTGTCGACCGACTCTGGAAAGACTGGAAAACGTCAACGTTTGTTGCTCTGTTTGGTTGTAGGAGGGCATTTTGAAATGGGAGGCTGCTGGAATTGACAGCTATAACCTACTCCTGAAACAAAAGGTTACTACTGCTGCAGCTCGCACGGCTTGCTACCCTGGGAGCTTTTTTCTTGAAGACATTCTAATTTTGTCCAGGGAAAGAAACATAGAATAACAGAGTTGGAAGGGACCTTAGAGGTCTTCTAGTCCAACCCCTGCTCAAGCAGGAGACCCTATTCCATTTCAGACAAATGGTTGTCCAATCTCTTCTCTGCTTAACACTCAACTGGATGGATAAATCAACAAGGCCTCAACACAAGATAATGGAGCAGGCTTGTTGATCAAGCTAAGGTACACGAACTTTGGCTAAACCTATCCCTGCCTCTTTGCTATACCCTCAAACTGACCAAAAATGTTAGGTTTTTCTTCCAGAAAACCAGGAATCAGCCAGATCCATCCACTTACTGTCAATAATGTCCCCAAGCCCTTGGGCGCGAAGTAGATCTTTCAGCCGTGTGACTTCTTCCTTCAGCTCCCGCACCAGCTTGGCGTTGGGATCCTCGTTGATCACGGCGTTGCATTTGATCTGCTTGGCCCGATCTGCGTATCTGGACAGATTGGTTTATTGAGATAAAACAACGGCAATAACGTATGTTTAAACATCCTTCACTTGCTGATGGTCAAGAATCTTGGAAGATAAGACTCCAAGGGCTTTTATCTAGATCAGCCTGAAGATGGACTTCAGAATTCCCAGAATTCCCAAGCCAGCATCTCTGGGAGTTGAAGTCTACACATCAATTGCTCATCAAACTCAAGTCACAAACAAGACAGAGAGCATATGGAACAGAAAGCCCAGCATTTATAATCCCATTCAATACCTTAATGTGCTTAATGTTTCATCATAGTTTATGTCTGCTGGGCTCAAAGCAGCCACCATGGCGGTTCTGGAGTTGCCACCTACAAGGCAGAAATGCAATCAGATCAAAGAAGATCAACCCTGACTGCCAAATCGTGAAAAGACTCAGCACAAATGCACCATCATTATAATTATAATTATCTAGCCCATCGCTGGGATGTAGTAAGGCCACTAAAAGCAGGGATTTTTAAAAAATACATGTCTGTATCGTAACAGCACTGTCATCTTGAATGTCAGAAAGGAAACTAGAATCCCATTTCGGGCAAGCTGGGTTTCATTTCTGGGTTTGCTAAACAAACCAAAGTTGGCTGGGTTTACACATCACGCTAAAACGTACGATGGTTTGAAAATCAGATTAGCAGAGTTGCCAAAGCACAGAACGCCCAAAAGAGTCAAGTCACACTACGGCTTGACGAGTTGCGTGAATGCTAGTTTTACAATTTGCCAAGTCTAAGAAAGAAAATTGCAAATTCTTGGCCCCAGAAATGCCTATCTGGATCAAATGTCATCTGACCACTGCAAAGTTACAGTCAGAATGTGTTCCACCCCAGAGCCACAACGGTTTATGTCCTTGCTTTGAAAACGTAGGTAATCAAACCAACGTTTTTAAAAGACCAAAGTCCTGGTTTCAAAGACAGAGGATCTAAACTTCAAGGAGTGAAGTCTGCTGCTTCACCAAATGGGCCCATTCTTTGCAGAGAGATCTACCACATATCAAGTAATTGCTGGTTATTCGGGAGTGAAACTTTAAAAAAGAAAAGGAAAAGGTTGTCTCAACTTCATACCTAGGTTTTCCCGAAGCAGCCACGTCAGCACAGAATCCCTGTACGGAATGAAGTCCGTTTTCTTTTTCTTCTTACTCTGCAAAAGGACATTATGTACTTAGGAGCCAGACACCGTAAAAGATGCTTGCAGAGAGGGGTAACCCAAGCTGGTGGCCTGCCATTTCCACAAAACAGGATGGGAAGCCACGACTTGGTGGAGGTGATTCTCCTGAGAAGGGGACACTTTTTAAAAAAATACTGGTAGTTCAAACATTTAAACCAGTGCCACTCCTTAAGTAGGCAGAAGATCTGAACCTGTTCATTGGTTTTGGCACAGACAGGAAAACTGGAAATGACAAGCCCCATTTTAGAAGAGGAATTAGAGACAAAAAGAAGGATGCTCTAAAGAAAGAGAGAGAGAGAGAGAGAGAGGGAGGGAGGGAGGAAGGAAGGAAGGAAGGAAGGAAGGAAGGAAGGAAGGAAGGAAGGAAGGAAGGAAGGAAGGAAGGAAGGAAGGATGGATCTGCTGAAAGGCACCAAGGTGTTTCCCAACGTATCTGTCAGGATGAGGACATTTTATTATCCAAGTTACATGGCAGTCCTGGATAGAAATTTCTTCATTCTCAGCAGACAGAAATGGGGAACTGTGGGACAAACCAAAGCAAGGCCAGCTTTGTTCCATGTTTCTAGAGTTGTCTCTTTTCTCTTTCTCTTTTTCCTCTCCCACCCAACTGAGTTTCCCTTCGCCAAGAAGGAAACACATTTTTGAAAGTGCTCTGGGCTTAAAATAACGGTTTTTAAAAATATGACTTTAGAGCACAGAAGGGCCGATCCTCCAGAAAGACGGGACCGGAGCCCTGTCTCGGATGTGCAGGGGGGTGTTGGATCCTGGCCATGATTCTGGTGGGGTTAGCCAAAAGGCAGCCGGTGAGTCTAATCAGGGCTGAGGAAAGCTGCCTTGCCGCAAAACAAAGGAACAAAATCCAACTCCTATTGGAAAAATATTTTCTGAGAGAGAAAGAAGGAGAAACTGCTATTCTACATATGCCTGTATGCATGTACTCTATACTAGGACAGCCCAAAACATTAAAAGACCCCTGTTGTTGTTAGAGACGTGAGCCACGTGTGATCCGATCACATATTTTGCCCCGTTTTCCTGAAGCAGAGGATGCTCCCTGCAGGACTATCTTTGATATAGCAAAATTTGGTCATGCCAAGACCGTTTCCTTTAGAGTGGCAGGATTTCTCTAGCGCCTACAAACATCCCTGCTTCGAGAAAGCTGGTGTAGAGTTTTGCTCCCCGGCAAAAGAGCTTTCACTCCTACAGAGGAGGTCTGACTTGCCGCGAAGGGTTGCAACTGCGCAAGGAGGCTGCCCTCACCGAGGTCCATCCAGATCGACTGAATTTACAGTTGGAGAGCAAACACGATGAAAAAGTCGGCGGCGTTTCCCCCCAGTGCTCATCCCAAAATCTTTGAAGCAGGCATGCTTGGAATGCGAGAGAGGGTTAGATGGGGTGGGTTTGTGTTTTCTTTAGCAGCTCATTGCTAGCTAGGAACCAACAGTGACTAAAGCAGTGGTTCCTAACCTTGGAAACGTGAAGGTGTGTAGACTTCAACTCCCACAATTCCCCAGCCAGCATGCTGGGGGGCGTTGAAGTCCACCTATCTTCAAGCTATCACGGTTGAGAAATACTGTTCTACATAGGCTACCACATTCAGTGAGCACATTCTTTATCCATCATACCTTGCTGGTGCAGTTATCCTTATTTTGGAAGCAGAGAGTGGAAAAAAAGAAGATAAAAGTGAGGTAAGGCCACAAACTGGGGATTTTGCATCGGTAACGAAGAGTCAGAGGTAAAAAGCTCCACTGTCATTTCCCCAAAGAAGCACACCCATTAGTCTTACCTCCCATCACCCTAAAATGCAAAAGCATCCATATCGTAACTCTAGGGTACAGGTAGCTATGAAAAAATAACTCCAACCTCAAAGATGGCCGGGAAGCTTTACACGAGAGGAAACAAACAGGAAGGGCTTTAAGCCAACTAAAATTAGCGAGGTAAATGGGGTGAAGAATAGCCTACTGTCAGGATTCCAGCCATCGCCCGAATGAAATCATGATTCTCGAGCCAAACTTCAAAGAACTTCAAAGGATTCATTAGAGGAGACATACTGGCCCTGCCCCGTATGAAGCCAACTCTGGCAATACGTCATTTACAGTCCCCTGTGACCCTGTTTTCCCCTCTCCCCCCTGGGTGTGTCATAAACCAGATTCTCCAAATGAGCACATTCACAGGCTGAGTGTCCTCAATCACGTTCTCCAATTAAATATATTCGTGGGCAAAAGCTCTGGTAGTTTAGTTACAATCTTTTAAAGGGAAGAGTTGGAATGTACTTTCGCTTCCAACCTGCTGCACGGCTCTTCCATATTTCCTTCCTCTCCCTGCACTTTTTTTATGGCAACTACTAAAACAGGCGTAGGAACGTTTTATGACACCTAGCACATATACCAAGTTCCAATACAGGTAGTCCTTGAGTTAAGACCACCATTGAGACCAGAGTTTCTGCTGCTAAGCAAGGCAGCCGTTAAGCGAGCCGTGCCCAATTTTACGAGCTCTTTTCCTGCTGCAGTTGTTGCTCAGTGAATTATCGCAGGTGGGTGAATCGCTTAATGACAAAGTCATTAAGAAAACCCAGCCTCTCCCATTGATGCTGCTCGTCAGAAGCGGGTGGGAAGGTGGCTAACAGCGAACACGCAATCCCCAGGATGCGGCAACCGTTGTAAATGTACGCTGGTGGCCAAAGGCCTGAATTATGATCCCCTGATCCTGAGGATGCTACAATGGTTGTACATGCAGGGACTGATCGTAAGTCTTTTTTTTTTTTTTTTGGTAAATTTGAATCTTTGCTATATCAGCGGTCCCCAACTTTTTCAACTTGGCAGCCCAGCAAGGGCGGGGGGAACTGGGCCGTGCGAGTGACACACACACACACACACACAGACAGACTCCTGGAAACAAATGTCCCTTTCACGTCTCCCCTGGGACTAAGCCCCAATGAGCTTGCAAAGCAATCCTCTTTTTTTAAGGCGTTCCAAAAAATCTGGACTTACCACTTCCGCCAAGGCCGATATCACCTTCCCCAGCGTGGTGAGGGACTTGTTGATATTTGCCCCTTCCTGGAAAAGGAAATAGATGGAAACGTTGCTCAAATCCCAGGAAGTGGGAAACACAATTTTGCTTCCCTGTCCTCGAGCAGGCTGGGCGTTTATTGATTTGAACTGCAGCGGGGATCTTAATGCCTGGATTTGCCCGGAGGTTGAGACTCCGGTAAGCAATTGCTGAAGAGGACAATCACCAGTTCTTCAAGCACATTCCCTGAGCTGCCAGGGGGTTTGGAAGGAGACGGGCAGGAGTTGGCCTCTCCGAAAAATGAGGTCGCGTGTGATCTGGCGGCAGACTCGGACAGTGAGGAGGTTGGGGAGGAACCTGGGCCAGTCCTGAAGCCTGGGAAAGGCTGATGAGTGCTCTGCGTCAGAGGCAGAGATGGGGCCAGGGTCATCCGACAGTTATCAGCTGCCTTCGGAGTCGGAGATCAGTGAGGCAGAAGAGCAGCTGGAGCCTGTTCCCAGTGTGTGCATGCGCAGAGCTGCCAGAAGAAGGGAACAGCTAAGGAACAAGGGTCAACTCGGGAATAAAGCCACAGGTGGACGGTGAATGGCCCCTCCCACAGGGAATAAAGGGGAGCAAAAGGGGAGGAGGGAGGAGTGTTTGCAGGAGACAATTAGTTCAATTCATTAGGATGCAGATCTGTTCCTGACTTCTTGCCAAGTAATTTCTGCTACAGCGTGGCATTTAGAAGCTATTGGCCTGGCAGCTCTCCAAGCCTGACAGAGGTCTGTAGTTGTGAAATCTCTTGAAAGACTGTTTGCCGACTTTGGTCGAGAGGAATTCACTTTAACCCCAATAAAAGGGGTTTTATCGGGACAAAGAGTCTGCTTCACGATCTTGGGAAGCCTAGGTCAGAACAGTGTGCTAAAGAAGCCCATCAAGGAATCCCACTGGTCAGATTCTGATCCAAAGGGCAACTGGGCTTCCTGCAAATGGAAGAACGATGGCCATCTGCCCACCAGACCCCATCCGAGGGAGCTTATACCTTTAGTCGAGTCCCTTTGGCACCAGTAGAGTCGGCTCTCTCACTCCCAGCGAGGTCCACAAGACTGATTTTGCTAACCTGGAAAGGAGAGGCAGGTCAGGCAAAGCAACGAACAGTTCAGTACTATGATCCAGAGGATCAGGTCAGGTGGAGGTCTTGGAGGTCTTCTAGTCCAACCCCCTGCTCAAGCAGGAGACCCTATACCATTTCAGACAAATCTCTTTTTGAAAGCCTTTGGACTGATGAATTGCTCTCGCTGTCAGGAAATTTCTCCATAATTTCAGGTTGTTTCTCTCCTTGATTAGTTTCCGTCCAGCCTTCTGGTGCTTTGCAGAATAGGCTGACAAACACACCTCTTCCTTCTTTTTTGGGGCAGTCCCTCAAATTTTGGAAGACTGCTGTCCTGTCACCTGTAGTCCTTTAACACCAGATTAAACATACCCAATTCTGGCAATTATTCCTGCAACTATGTGCCTCCAGTCCCCTAATCATCTTTGTTGCTTTTCTATTTTTTTAAAAAAATCTGGTCTTAAAGAAAATATATCTAACTCAAGAACAGGGCTGTTTTTAAAAAGGGGTGAGTTTTCCAAAGATTTTCCAAGTGATGTATGGTATTCCCTCCTATACTATCCTATTCCTAGAAAAACAGCTATCACAGCCTCCCATAAGCTCTGGGATTTTATGATCAGTTGCAAGGATGGATTGGCACAGCTATTTCCCAGGGGAAGAAATAGATTACGTACCTTCTCGGTGGAAAGGTTGGTTTCGGCATCGTGTTTCTTCTGAGTGAAAACTATGGTGAAGACAGCATGAGAGCGACTGCTGGTCTCATTCATGTTGGTAGCTGCTACCGTCCTTGGGAAGGAAAAAGGGAACATACATTTATGCTTCAGGAAAACAAAATATATAGATAAGGCAAGACGATAAAGCAGAAATGGCTACATCGATTGCTTTATTCAAAGAGGAGAATATATTTATGTTTTTTTATTTGGATATCACTCCTGGATTTTGTGCTTGTAATGAAAAATAAAACCCCGAAACTTTGACTTTGGTTTTGCTGATTAGATAAATTTGTTCTCATAGAAACAGCTAGTTATACACTAATATGTAAAAGTAAGAAGCTGCGGCTGGAATGTTGTTAAGTCAATCTGACTTTGCTTGTCAAGAGGTCGCAAAAGGGGATTACGTGACCCGGGGACGGTAATAAATACAAGCCAGTTGCCAAGTGTCTGAATTCTGATCACGTGACTGGGGGGGGGGGGGATGCTGCAAAGGTCGTAAGTATGAAAAACAGACCTAAGTCGCTTTTTTCAGGGCCGCTGTGACTTTCCATGAACTGCTGTAAGTCGAGGACTACGCGTATAAGCTGCAAGACCCCTGAGGTGCAAAGATACCAACCTCGCTTTATTCCCAGCATCCATGAGGTCTGCGATATCGGTGTAGGAAGTGACCGCAAGCTTGGACAGGTCTTCCACATAAGGCCCGAGCAGTGGGTGTTCCCGGACCCGCAAATTCCCTTTGTTTTTGGGGTTCAGCAAGTCTCGAACCCTCTCGCAGTAGATCTCCATGTAACTGACCTACGAGGAAGGAACAAAAATATAAAATTGTCACACGGGGGTGTGAGGGGGAGAGAATGCTAGTACAGGTAAAGGGGATGCGGTGGCTTGAGACGCTGAACTTGTCGATCAAAAAAAGGTCGGCAGTTTAACGGTTCGAATCCCTAGCGCTGTGTAATGGAGTGAGCTCCCGTTCTTTGTCCCACCTTCTGCCAACCTGGCAGTTCGAAAGCATGTAAAAAAAAAATGCAAGTAGAAAAATGGGGACCCCTTTGGTGGGAAGGGAACAGCGTTCTGTGCGCCTTCGGTGTTTAGTCCTGCTGGCCACAGGACCACGGAGACGTCTTCGGACAGCGCTGGCTCTTCTTCGGCTTTGCGACGGAGATGAGTTAGTGCCCCCTAGAGCTGGAAACGACTAGCATGGATGTGCGAGGGGAACCTTTACCTTTATACAAGTAGTCTTCGACTTACAACCACAATTCAGCCCAAAATTTCTGCTGCTGAGTGAGAAATTTGTTAAATGAGTTTCCCCCCTGTTTTACCGCCCTCCTTGCCACAGTTATTAAGTGAGTCCCTGCAGTTGTGAAGTTAGTTACATGGTTTTTAAGTGAATCCGGCTTCCCCATTGACTGTGTTTGTCAGGCAGTCATAAATAGGAGTCATTGGCCAAGCTGGCTGTTTTCTATTATTTCGGTTGCCAAGCGCCTGAATTTTGATCATCACATGACCATGGAGATGCTACAAGGGTCGTTAAGTGTGAAAAAGGGTCATTTCCCCCCGCTCGCCCCCGGTGCCGTTGCAACTTGGAACGGTCACTAAATGAACCGTTGCAAGTCAAGGAGTATCTGGACAGAAGAGGGCAGGTAATGCAAAGGAAAAGTTGTTCGGGGAAGTCGTAAGTGCTGATTTAGGAAAAAAAAAAAAAAACCTCCATTATTCATCACAAGGACACTTTAGGGCCGAGACATCAATAAGTATTTTGAGAGCTTCTCTAGATCACTCAGGTATCTAAAGGGAAAAAATGAGAGGAATTGCAAGCGGCGATGAGGTAAGGACCCACACAAATAGCTCTGAGGTCGAGGAGGCATCTTATATAAAACCGAGACACTCTTTCAAGACTGCCCAAGATAGTCCCCTCTGTGGGGCGGCTGCCAACTTCCACCCTTCTCGCTTCTTGAAAAAGTTGGGTGGTCACAAGAGCGATCAGAAGGGGCAAGAGAAGTGGCAGAACTTCCCTGGGGCAGGCCTGGATTCTGAAGGGGCCGCAAGCAAGCCGCTAGGTAGGGTTCGGGTTCTCAATCCTGATCCAATTCAACCGGGGATAATGAAGCGGAGAGAGGAGGAGGAGAGAGAGGGAGAAGAGAGCGAGCACGCACACGAGACGGGGAGGAAGAGAGAGGGAGACGGAGGGAGAGAGAGAAGGAGAGAGAGAGAAGGAGAGAAAGAGAGACAGGGTGATGGGAGAGAGGGAGGTTTGCCTTCGTGCTCTTCTTGGGTCAGAGGATCAATGGACCTCTGAATAAGATCCAATACTGGCTTCTTCTGAAGAAAGAGGAGAGAATCCACGATCCACCACCTCAGTCCCTCTCTCTCTCTTCTCAGCTGCTTTCTTCGGCCAGACCCCTGGGCTTCTCTCTGGCTAATTCCTACCCCAAGAATCTGGAAAACAATCCCCTGCCACCTCCCCAAAGAAGCAGAGGGCTCTGAACATCCTTTTCCTCTTGCTACTCTCAGTTCAAAGCAAACGAAGGCACTGGCCAGGCACGTTTTTTCCCCCCCCGTCACCAGAAATAGTGCTGAAACATTTATATCGGTTGTTGCGGGTAAGGAAGAGTGGGGAAAAAAATTGGAGGACGTGGAAGACCTTCTTCTATCAAGGGTCTTCAAACTTGGGAAGTTTTAAAACTTGTGGATGTCAACTTCCAGAATTCCTGAGCTACCGTGACTGGAGGAAGAATTCTGGGAGTTGAAGTCCACAAGTCTTTTAAAGCTGTCAAGTTTGAAGACCCCCTGCCTTATGACAGGCTAAAGTAAAGGCAATATCTCTTGATATTTCTTTGAACTTTTTTTTTAAAAAAGAATAATGATTGGGGCCAAAGAAAAGCAGAATGCTCATCTTGGACAAGCTCCAGAAGAAAATACACTCCTTTTTTAAAAATATATATATATTGACTGTTTCCTAGTGTTGAACCTTATGATTCTTGACTCTTGATGAATGTATCTTTTCTTTTAGGCACACCGAGAGCATTTGCACCAAAGACAAAATTCCTTGTGCGTCCAATCACACTTGGCCAATAAAGAATTCTATTCTACTCTATTCTTTCCCACGTGGAATCTACATTCACCCCAAACTCCTTGGAGGCCAGCAAGCTGCAGAGAGCTTAGCAGAAGCTCTGTTTTCTTCGAGAAAGGAGAGCTAGCAAAACACAAGACTAAATCCCCACCACCTCAGCAACGTACTACTTTGACACAGCCTGGGTTTCAGCAAACTGGCTTTGTGAATTCGGTCTGGAAAGGCCTCGTGTTAACAGGAAGGTAATGTTTATTCAGGCACAGCCCCACCCATTATGCTGCCTTCTGAGGGTCTACATTCTTGGGCCCACCTTCTCCATCCACAACCTCCCGCCCGTGTGCTTCCTCTCCAAGCAGCTAAAAGGGGCTCTCCGCCACTACCCTCGTATCCAGAAAGCAACCCCCCCCCCCGATCCAGCCATTCACCCCTCCCGCACATTATCGGGGTGCTTTCGAGCTTCTCCTAAGGAAAGGCTCCTGTGCGCTTTTAAGGCTCAAGGCCAGAAGTTGTGAAACCACTGTTGGGGGAGGGGGAAAAAACCAAACTTGAATCTGAATCTCCATCGGGTCAATGTCTTCGTGCGTACAGACAGCCCCCGCTTACCTCCACGGAGTAAGACATTTCCTCGTTGCTGTTGTCATTGATCTTCTCAAAGAGGTCTTCGCACAGCTAGGAAGCAATGGAGAAGCGTCAAGCTATAGTTACGCGGAAAGGAGAACTAGGATATTGGGCTAGATAGAACGATGCCGCCCCAGCCACTGCCACACCACACCCGCTCCAAAATGAATTGACAGGTTCCTAGTTTAGCGCCGGCCGGCCAAAATTCATGAGAGGTAAAGCCTGTGGGCACTTTTGTATAGCTTCTCGTGGTGACCGAAGTGGGAAGGCAGCTTCCCAACTCAAATAGGTAAGACTTGCCTCGGAGAAATAGGTGGCATACAAATCTTAATAAAAAAATAAATTTAAAAAAAGATCATTGACATTAGGAACGTGGGTTGTATCTCCAAATGGTGATGATTACAGAATACAGAATAAGAGAGTTGGAAAGGACCCTGGAGGTCTTCTAGTCCAGCCCCTGCTCAAGGAGGAAACCCTATACTCTTTGAGATAAACGGTTGTCCAATCTCTTCTTAAAAACTTCTAGTGTTGGAGCATTATGCGAAATCTGCTCTATTCCGGCATAAAGCATTAACACCACAATTTATTTGTAGAAGAATCCTTTGTATTTTTATTGGTTTGAATACTTTTAATAGCTCCCGTAAGTTGTGGTTTCTCAGGATTCCCATTTCTTCCTTATCCCCTTCTTGTACCTCTGAAGTATAAAAGAATTCCCTGTGTATGCCAAGCTTTCAAAGCCCAGAACCAGGAATCCTAATTTTATATTCAAAATAAATTACAACATACAAAAGAAACAGCTTTAAATATTTGCCATGGCTTCCTTTCTTACAGACGCAGGGCAGAAACTTGAGTGAGCAACAGATCAAACAAAAATCATTTCAATCAAAAACACCACAATCTACAGATTTCAATAAAGGTGTGACAGTTGTATCTAGGTAGCGGGTCGTTTCAATTTGTGACCAGTCCTTGGTTCAACACACACCCAAAACAAAACACAAGCTTGTTCAGTTTTCAAGCAGACGTTAAGATCACTAACTAGGATGTGATGAAGTGTACAAAAATCACATTTTTCTAACTGGTCTGTTTTTGATTTGCAATTCGTGACCTGCAGAAATAGCTGCCGAAACCAATTTGGATACGGAGCTGCTTACTGTTTCATGCAAAATTGTTTGTGAATCAGTAAGGGGTAGGACCAGCCTTCACTCAGGGTTCAATTTAATTTCGGGGTCTTTGATCTTCCTCCCTGCCCCCGGTAGCATTGAAAACCTGGCTAGATAACTATGTTATCTAGTCCATACGCTTGAACCAAGCCCTGATCAGATTTCTCCTTGGTAGGTTTTATCAGATGGCTGACACGCTTTCGGACACAGGGACCGACCATTTTTGTTCCTGGTCCTAGAGCAGAAAGACTATTCGGCTCAACTATTCACAAAAACAGCTATACGAGCTTAGCCTTTGCTCTTCCAACTTCTCTTATGCTCCCACCCGCCAACTAACTCAATATTGCAGACTGGAAAATACTGTCTCTCTGTGCCAGAACAGCACTGCCTTTTGAAATTATATTAAGAAGACAGATGGACAAAAGACAAAAGCATCTGAAGGAGTCTGCCGTTTCAATGTTTTCTTCAAAGTGCGTACAATGTATCCTAACTTTACTACGAAGTGCAAAATAATAAACAAATAGAACAGAAAAACAGTTGCAAAAGTGATGAAAACAAAATCCGGAGTAGTTGGATACACTTTTCTGACCTAAGCATTGTTCAGCAGCCACATTTTAAGCAGGAAAAGGCATTTAACACTCACAACCAACCGCCAAATTGTCACAAACACACAATCTGAAAGGAGACAGAAGCATTTTTAAATTTATTTATTATATATATATATATATATACTGCCCTTTTCATTACGCAGAGGCAAGATTTGTTTGCAGAAGGGAAAAGCTGGGAAATCCTGCAAGCTTTTGAAAGGCTGATGCAAAAAAACACAGTATTTGGGACCTGCAAAACAAGCAAGGATCCAGCTTACCTGTGGGATGATCCCTGCCTGGTTCTCTTCCTGTTTCCCCATCATGGTGTAAGATTTTCCGGCTCCAGTTTGGCCATATGCGAAGATACAGACGTTGTAGCCTTCAAAAGCATGGAGTAGCATTTCTTTCCCAATGTCATTGTAGACACGGTTTTGAGAGGCGAAGCAAGGATCCTCAGACTGTGGGGATTTCAGATAAGATAACCTTTACTGTCACTTTTTGTTTTTTCTGTGAACACATTGGCACGCATTAAAACACGAAATTCTGATGCACACATACACAGAGGTAGTCCTTGACTTTCAATAGTTCACTTAGTAACCGTTCAAAGTTACGGCACTGGAAAAAAAATTGACTTACAACTATTTTTCAGAGTTATGACAGCATCCCCATGATCATGTGATCTAAATTCAGAAGGTCAATTGGTTCATATTTATGACGGCTGCTGTGTCCAGGATCAGGTGACCAGCTTTTGCAACCTTCTGACAAGCAAAGCCAATGGGGAAAAGCCCAATTCACTTAATAACCAGGTTATTAACTTATCAACTGCGGTGACTTACTTAACAACTGAGACAAGAAAGATCGTAAAACGTGGCAAAATTCACTTGACAAATGTCTCAGCAACAAAAAAAATTGGGCTCAACCATGGTCATAAGTCAAGGACTCTGTGTGTGTGTGTGGGTGCGCGTGTGTGTGTTGATGCCTTGTCCTCTTACAACTAGATTCTGTAATAGCTTTGTACCATATAGTATCAACCTTGTTAAGACTTAATGAAGAGGTGATAACAGAGGACAAGCCATGAAATTACTATCGTATAGCCACATTTTACTCTTTCTGTGTGTACTAGAGGGTTCAAATTCTTAATATCAAGTCAAACCCTTACAAATGCCTCGGCTGAGAATCAAGAGCTCCTGAGTTTACTATCAAAGGGGGTTCTCCCGTTTCCAGTCTTTCCATATTACTATTTCTGGAGTATTCTGTGCGCTACGGAGTGTTGCTAGCTTAAAGAAGTGCCAGTCCCACCCAACTTTTATTGCCAACCGTTCAAGCATAATTGAAAAATATCAAGGGACAGAAACTGGCGCCTGAGCCAGACACCCCAGTTCAAATGGCAGCTGGGTTTTGCCAGCTTTGCCAAGGAAAAATAAAAGCAGACAAAAGGCTTTAAGAAGGCAGGCAAGCTCAAAACATGGGGGAGGGGAGGAAGGGCCATTTAAAAAATAAATAAATAAAGCCTTTAAGCGGGACATAACTTGGAGCAACAGCTGACCAGGAGAACATATTTTTTTTCCCCACTTGAAGGAATAAACGAAGCAGAATGTCTCCAAACAAGATGATCGCTCAACCATGATTATTTCCTATATAAAAATATAGGAAATCAACGTGTTTACTTATTTAACAAGAGAAAGAAGTGAGGAAAAAGAAGCAGGGGGAGTTTAGAGGATTGGACGTGGAATTTCAAGGGGATTGAGGAGGGAAAGTCCAGCAATGCCCTTAATAAACATCAGATTTTTCAATAACCTAGTAAAGTCAATATTGTCATTTCTTTCTTACATGGGTGATACTGAGACACTAAGGAAAGGATGTCATAATTAGTAGCTACGTTATCTGGCATTAGATGCAGACTGCCACCGTATTGTTCTGGAAACAGACAAAGCTCCTTTAACAAGCACAAAAGAAGTTGGACATGGTGCTTTAAAGGGTGGAATTGGCAGCTATTGGGAATTGTGTACTGGAAAGTTGTCTGGGCAAAAACCGTCCATCTAAGCACTGTTTTCAAAACTCAGTTTCAAAGGAAGATACTTAAGTTTCACGGTTCCCATTATTTGGGATATTAGTTTTAAGAATATGTCCAAAAGACTTGGAAAAAAAGGATATTCCACCTCACAAGGCTATCCATTTCCTTTGTGAGTCATTCATGAGCAAATGTATTTCTTGTGCAGCAAGCTTACTTTATCTCAAAGGCAACATATGGGTGTCTCCGAGATGATTTCGCTGCGATCTTTTCCGGATTTCTTTTGTTTTCTGGGATAAATTATATGGGAAACTCCTACTCTGTTTGATTTAAAGAAAACAGTAGGTGGGTTCAGTGGAGATTTAACATTTTTATCTACAGGCAAAGCAAAAAAATATTTAGTTGCCTGCTCTATCCAATGTACAGGTTTTCTTTTTCTGGATAAACCACAGGGCCCAAAGCGCTGTGAATAGGAAGAGTCATTTTTCATCATTTTGATCATCGGAGAACAACTGATGGCGATGCCTCAAAATCCAACAATTGCTGGAAGTCAGTAAAAATCTCAGCTGTAGCTTCCACAAGGGATCTGGGAGCTTCAGGGCCAGTCTGCTTTCATGGTTTTGTCTACTGGGAGCGAAATAGGGCGGGTGTGGGGGAAGCAGCTAAGCTAAAAACTCTTCTTTTAACGGAGTTATAAACACTCCGAGGGGAAGTTTATACATAGATTCCTACATGGAAATTGTTTGCCGTTCAAATTCCTCCTCGGAGCTGCTTCAAGCTAATCCTCTCTCTCTGCAAAGCTATCCTTGGACACACTTACACCTCCTATGAAATGTAATATTTCTGATCCCAGGCTGGAAAAGGCATTTGGATCAAGAGGAACCTCGGCTCTTAAACAGCTAAAAATCGCAATACAATCAGAAGAGAAAAACAGCTGTGGGCTGGAGGGCTGAAAGAGAGAAATGTCCACCCATCGGCTACATCGGCTTGTATCACACTTTCAAAAGGAATCTGGGTTCAAGACAAAAACCAGCATTCTTACCGAGGTATGGGACCAGTACGAATAGTCAAAGCTGAAGGATTTTGGTGCTTCTTTAGGATTCTTTGGATTCAGGATACCTGAAAGAAACAAACATGCACATTTACCATCTGAGGAAAAATCAGGGCAAAGAATATAACATTCCCATTTTCTACTGAATACTTTACTAAACTTGCCTTCCAAAACGTGACTCATGAAAGATATTTCTATTACAAATGTGATGTGCAAAAATGTCATACATTGAAGGTGTTATCTAGCTGGGTAATGAAATGTCTGCAAGAAAATAACTAAGTTCAGAGAGTGCCAAGAACTATCATAAACAATGGTAATACTGTCCTCAAAAGAGCCACCTTTGTTTGAGTTGGGGGCTATATAAATAAATCTTTCAAATAAATAGAACCAGTATTGCTTGGCAGGCTTCTCAACTGCTAAATAATACAGTTCGAATCCTGTGGGTTTTCTTAATTTTGTTTCATTTTATTAGCCATTCTATTAGCTTGAGTTTCATACTGGTTCTGGTGGGAAGTCATCCAAAGTTCTTACCAGATTCCAGTTTTGAAATGCTGGTGAGCTATTCAGTAGCTGAATTCATGGATATTTATTTATAAGACTTACATGGCCACCCATATTAAGAAGCACAACTCCAGGTGGCTCACAACTGCTATTCTCGCCACCCCCCCAAAAAATAATAAAATAATACAACCAAAAACAGCATGAGAGTCATTGGAATGTTTGGAAAATGTTTGGAAAAATCAAAAGCATTAAAAAAGAGAGATCTCCTTAGAAAACAGATACGGTGCTATTGCTGACGACACAAGCATAAACTTACAAGAACTCCAAGATGCAGTTACTGATATTCGGTCCGCATCGGTTATTCAAAACTGCCGAACAACGATGAATCAAATTCAATTAGAGACATATGGGGAGGGCGAGGGGGACAGAGATAACATTTGACATAACAGATTTGCAGGGCAGCCGATAAGCACTTTCTAGAGTGTGCCAAACTTGGGAGTCAGAATTGTAAACAAATAAATAAATAAATCCACAGAAAGCAGGGAGAGAGATAAGAAGTCAAAAATTAGGCCATCCTATGAGAATTTCCGGATTGGGGAATTCTTCTTTGAACTGCAATGAAGACCAACCAGGTCCCTCCCCTCCATCAGAGCCCCACACAAAAAAGCTGACACACATTAGGAATAACAAAGCTCCAGGGCTCCTGGGAAGTTCGCAGCAGGGCGTTTAAACCTATTTGGAAATGCATGTTATAATACGGAGATAAAAGCCTCCTGAATTATGGATTGGTTTTTCAGAAGCTCAACATCCAATGGAAGAACCAGAGGTGGCAATAAAAAGGGCCCGAGGAAGAAACTCAAAACACAGGAGGGTAGTGTATTAAAATGTTCACAGAAATGGTATCTTTTTAAAAAGATGGGGAGATTTATCGGGGAATGCTCTCCACCCCATCCCCCTGCCTCCTAAGGCCTCCAAAAATACATTTCTTTGTTTCTGCCTTTGAATTTATTGTCCTGTTTCCAAGCTGCGCGACTGAACGGACTCTCAACACAGGGGATTCACAACAGAAAAATAAAGTTTTCTGTAACGAAAAAATTACATATCAAGATTGTGGAAAAATAAACTTAGAGGTGGCTAAACTCCCCCCCACTCCAACTTTGATATGTAAGCTCACTGCCCAACTATGAAAGAGGAAACAGAAGTGGAAAAAGAGTTAGCAAAAGTCTATGGAATGCACATTACTAATTTCTCTCATTTATATCCTGTGGAAAGTTGGCCAAAATGTTCCAGGTGACTTCCTGAACTTTTTGGAGAACATGGAGTCATTTTTATCATTTAATCTGGTTTCATCTTCAAATGACCTATGAACCCGACCACTGATTCTGTGAACCATGGTAAAAACACACCGTGGCTTAAAACAGGGGTTCCCAGCCCTCAGTCCATGGACCGGCACTGGTCCATAGCATTGCCAGAAACCGGTGCCGCACAAGAAAGTGAAGCCCCATCTGCGGGGTGCAGGCAGCACACGAAACCGCGCCCCCTCTCTTCACGGAACCAGTCCCTGATGCCCAAAAGGTTTTTTTTGGGGGGGAGGGGTGTCGGCTGGCTTAAAAGAAACCATGAACGCAGCTCTGTATTCTGGAACAAAACATTTTTAAACAAGCTTTCAATTTCTGGCTTTTTTTTTTTTTTTCACTTAACAGTGAATGGGATGTCCAAGGCAGGGAAGATAAGGTGGTGTAAAGTAAGGGGACACCCACTGAATTTTTCATGCTGTCTTTCATTCTGCCCTGCGTACTACTTAGTATGTGAGGTGTGGACTGCAACAGCAACAAAATCAGAAATCTGCTGCTTTTGCAGGCACTCCCAATGCCTTGCTACTAGTCACTTACTTTGCAATATTTAAATTTTCCACTGGTGCGCTATTCCAGAACAGGCCTTCCAACCAAGGCAATGGAATGGGAACAGGATCCACTCACGGCCTACAAATAGCAACGGTTGCTATCGGGCCTCCTAAACTTGGCGATTCCGCCCTGCATGGAGTCGTATGCTGGGTTCTTAACTTATGAACGCTGACAACCAGGCGAAGGCCAAGATTCATATCACTTACACAAGGGCATCATGAGGGGGAAAGATATATATGTTGCTTTTGATAGCAAGGAGATTAACGGCAAAGCAAAGCAAACTGGCAATGCGGGGATTCTCACACAGGAAAAGTCCCGACCAAAAAAATTACAAGGGAGATGGTTAAGAGCGAGGAAGGGAGTGATCTGCCTTCGAAAGCTGCAACCAGAATACCACAAGAGCTTTGTGCAATCAACTTTGGGCCAGGGAGTAACAACAGCAAAAAAAAGAACCAATTCTAAGCAAATGCCAGCATCGCACACACACATTCATCAGTAAAGCCGTGATGGCATTCCTTGAGATTGAAAGATATATTAATTGGGAGCCTTTCTTAAAAAAAAAGAAAAAAAGCAACGACTGGATTCAATTCAGAGGCCAGGGTGGAACGTGGAAGTCAGCGATTCCAAATTCGTGCATTTCTATGGCAACGGCTTCATCTCATTTCATTGAGAAAAGCAGATTCAAAGGAAAGCGTGTCATCCGGATGAATTTGCTGGCTTGAATGTTAGGAACGGAGATATTTTACGGGCTCCAAGCTGCCTTGTTTGGGTTTGTAGGAAAGAAAGAAGAGCTTTATGACAAAGATGCCCTTGTATAAATGACATTAATCTTGGCCTTAAGTAGCTGTGGTAGTGTGGTGGTTAGAATATTGCAGGCTAACTCTGCCCACTGCCAGGAGTTCGATCTTGACAGGCTCAAGGTTGACTCAGCCTTCCATATTTCGGTAAAATACGGACCTAGATTGTTGGGGGAAAGAGGCTGGGGCTCTGTAAATTGCTTAGAGAGGTCTGTAAAGCACTGTGAAGTGGTATATAAGCCTAAGGGGCTATTGCTACAAGAGCCCTGGTGGTGCATTGGTTAGAATGCAGTATTGCAGGCTAATTCTGCTCACTGCCACGAGTTCAATCCTGACCGGCTCAAGGTTGACTCAGCCTGCCATCCTTCCATGTTCTATAAAATGAGGATCCAGGTTGTTGGGGGCAAGAGGCTGACATTGTAAACCACACCAGGAGTGATGCACAGCACCATAGAGAGGTATATAAGGTGCTATTACAATAGCAACATTCAATATAGAATCTTTTAAATTTGACATGAAGAAGATGACCTGGGCTATCAGAAAGGCACACAAATAGACTGAGACCAACCAGGAGGTGCATACTAGTGTGAGGTCTGAACAAAAGAACCAAAAACCAGGATCTGATCTTGATTTAACTACCATGATGTACTGTAATGATCTTGATCGGCGGAAGGACTGGCAAGCCATGACATTAAAACATTTCAGGTAAATGTAGCAGTTGACTAACCAGTACACACGGTTAGTATACATGATGACGGGTAAAGTGTTGCAAATTGTTCACGATTTGTCGCTCATCTTCTGAACAATTTCGGAGTTTCCACACTGCCAATGCAACGGTCCCATTTCGACCCAGTTGTCCTGTTGTTGCTTTCCCGCTCCAGACTGATTTCTTCAGTTTGGATGCACGGGGCTCCAGGCTAATAGTTTAATTACACAGACCCTGAGAAAAGGAGACAGGGAATCACAGCGAAGACCTACCCTAACCGCTTGTGTGTTGTTCAACAAAATTAATGTGTTTATTTGGAATTTGAAGAAGAAGGAAAAAAAAAACCCAACATGGCAATTAAGTCTTCTGTTTGCAAACCGCCCCTCAAATGCTTCTGTGTTACAACTATAATTAGTTTCCATCATCGTGGTGCTAAAAGCAACTTGGAGCATCACAGTTAACCCTGGCCACCTGCTTCGCAGAACACCACAGCTTTAGTAGCGTTTTAGGCTGCACTCTGATTTTTATAGGACTGTTTTACACTGTGCTATATTTGCCCTTCGGTAGAATTCACGCCTGCCATTTGTTAAAATGGAAGGCAGGGTTTCATTGTCCCAACATACCAATCCTTGGGATGTATTTGGGGCTTACTTCCCTGTTCACTGACATATAAGCATCGTTTCTTGCCTAGCGGACTTTAGAGCAGGTGTGTCAAAACTCAAGGCCTGTGGGCCGCATCCAGCCCACAGGATACTTGGTTTTGGCCAATCCTGGAAACAGCAAGGGACCGGTGCCTCTCCCGAGCTCTGATTTTGCTGGCAAAGGGTTGCAGAAGGCCGTCGCAGGCAGAAATGAAGCTCGGGAGCCCATTTTCGGTGGCAGAGTGCTCGGGCCGCCACAGGTGCCCCCGGACACGAGTGTCGAGCTGGCCATGCTCACCCTGGCCCCCCAAGGTCAAACACAACCCCGATGTGGCCCTCAATGAAATCAAGTTTGACACCTCTGCTTTAGAGGTATAGATCCATCCGCCCCCCCCGCCCCCCAAAAGGCAAACATCCATCCTTGGTGGCAAATAAACAATTGGAACCAGATCTGCTTCTCTGGTTTTCTTGTTGTCTTCTTGTCGGGTTATGTTTGACTGGAATTATGAGCAAGTCCTC